AGGAGGAAGGAGGGAGGAGGAAGGAGGAGGAGGAGGAGGAGGAAAGGGGGGAGGAGGAGGGGGAGGAGAAGGAGGAGGAGGAGAGGAGGAGGGAGGAGGAGGAAGAGGAGGAGGAGGAGGAAAGGAGGAGGATGGGGAGGAGGAGGAGGACGAGGAGGAGAAGCAGGCGTCAAACCATGCTTCTTCCTCCGCCGCCCCCCCCCGCCGTCCCCCTTCCCCCTTCCCCTTTCTCCCCTTTCCTGCCTCATCATCCCTGCCCATGCTCCATCCTTCTTTCCTCCGATGTCCCGAACAATGCATGCACTTAGGGTCTCCTACTTCCGTTCTGAGGAAGTGGGCCCGTGCGCTGGCCCAGCGGTCCCGTTTCCGTCCGTCGCCGCCCCATTGTTCCAAGTAAAGAGCCATCTGCGTGCCCAGCGGCCCCGTTCCCGTCCTTCGCCGCACCACGTAGTTTACATCACATGGCTGACACTACGGGGATTGCACAACATCGCTCGCAACACGTAAATCACGCCACATAGCTCACATCGTGAAGCTTACGCTGCATAGCTTGCACCCCGTATTTCTCCTTTTCTGAAAGAATATTAGGATCTCCCAATGCGCGTCACTTGTTTATCAAAGCTCACCAGTTTCCAAGAACTCCTTTCAACAGATATGACGAAGTGCACGCGCGCGCCGTCCCAAACGCATGCGGAATTAATTTAAAAATTATGGTGTTCGATGAGGTTTGAAAATCAGTATCCTGAAAACAGATAGAACCACGTGGTTTCGCAACAGGGGTGTTCGAAGAAAGCCTGCGCCCGCGCTTCTGTAAACTCAGAAGAAACTCATTGGTTGTTTAACGTTTTCATAACATGCGGCCAAAAAAGCCTTTCGCGCGCGCATGTCGGAACGGCAAGAACGCCCTCGCACGCGTGCTGTCGCAATAATTCCTTGCGACAGATGCGCGTAAGTGCACGCGCGGTTCGTCGCGCGCGCATGCCGGAATATGTCAAATCTTTCAGATTCCGCACGGATTTCAGAATCGTGTGTCCCGAAAACATATAAAACACATTGTTTCACAACACAGGTTTTTTTTAAAAAAAAAAGCCTGCGCCCGCGCTCCTGCGAATACTGGCGAAAACGATTGGTTTTCGAACATGTTCATTACATTCAGCCAAACGGGCCCCTCGCGCCGCACGTTGGAATCATTGGAACGTCCTTGCGCGCGTGCTGGGGGGGGAACGATCCGTGTCAAATAGTTCCATGCGGGCCACACTCGCACGTCGGCCGCGCGCGCATGTCGAACTTCCTCCAAAACCTTCATCACCGACGCGAGGGCGCCGTTATCGTCGTCGGGGTGATCAGCATCGGCGCCGTCACTGGCCTTGCCGTCGTCGTTGTCATCATCGTCACCAGCATCGCTACCGTCATCATCGCGTCTACCGTTGCCGCGGTTGCCATGGCACCGCGCCCGCCCAAGCCGCCGTCTCTCACTGAAGTGCCCGTTGGGAAATGCCCAGCGGTCAGCGCCACCGCGGCCGCGTCGGTAGCGCCAAGCTACCTGGCCGCTACGCGCGCGAGCATGCGTGGGCTAACGCGGCCGCAGAGATGCACCAGCTAAGTCCAAGCACTCATCGTCATCGTTTTGCGAACCAAGTTGCGGGCGGGTAGGTGGGATGACTGCGCGAGCAGTGGAGCGACAATTCATTGGGAACAGAAATTAATTATCCTTTTCTAAGAAAAGAGAAGACTTCGCCACCCCCACGAGGCCAGACTTATCACTACCCCCTGAGGATGTGCAATTTACATGCGATTCTGCACCATCGCCCGTCTTAACTATGAGCTCGTACCATCCCAGCCAAAACGGTGCCAGCCCCCCCGCCACCCTCTGCAAAACATCAGATGCGCGCGCATTCGTTTATCAAAGTCATAGGTTTCCAGAAATCCTTGCAAACGAAAGGACGAACTGCATGCGCGCGCGTCCTCGCGCGCGCATGCTGAATCCTTCAACAACCTGTTGGTGTTGTAAGGATTTCAAAATTGAGCGTTCCAGAAACATATACAAAACATGGCTTCGCCACGCGCGTTTTGAAACAGCACTTGCGCGCGCGTTCTTGCGAATTCTGAAGAGAGCCATATGCTGTTCATCATGTTCAGGAGCTGCTGCCACATGGGTTTCGTGCGAGCGCATGTCGAAATACTTCGAACGCCCTTGCGCGCGTGCCGTCGCGATAATAATTTGCAACTGATGGGACGACGTGCGCGCTCGCGTCGTCGCGCGCGCATGCCGACATCCGCCAACAACCTGCGGTGTCAGAAGGGTTTCAAAACCGAATGCCCAACAATCAAATGAGATAATGGCTTCGCAACATCAGTTTCGCAACGTGTGCTCGCGCTTTTGCGAATTGCAAACCATTTTTATTTCAGATACATAATAATAACACTAATAGTAATAATGTTAGTAATACTACTAATAGCAATAATAATAGCAATACTAATAATAATATTAATAATAATACTGATAATACTGATAATACTGATAATAATAATAATAATACTACTAATAATGCTAATAATAATAATAATGATAATAATAAATAAATAAATAAATAAATAAATAACTAAATACATAAATACATACATACATAAATAATCATAATAAGCATTCGCATGGCATTCTGCCAAGCGGGCTTGTGGCGCCGCGTGCCGAAATCATTCGCGCGCCCTTGCGCGCGTCTTGGGAGGGCACGATCCGTGTCAACCATCACCATGCGGGCCACTCTCGCGCGTGGGCTGCGCGCGTGACTTGGCTGCAGCGCCGCAGGGAGCGCAATCGGTTGGCTTCCACTCATGTGTTGGGGCCCTGTTTGTGCCACCGCTTTCTACTCGGCGTCGTTCGGACGTGCGCATCTTTTCATCGTCGTCGTCGTCGTCGTCGTCGTCGGGGGGAGAAAAAAAAACACGCACCACAACGAACAAGGCACGGGGAACGGATGTCCGGGCGATGGCGAGTCTATGGATTCTCCTTCACCCCCGGGTGCGCCGTGCTTGGCCTCATCAGCCCCTTCCCCGTCCTCGTCGTCGTCGTCCTCGCCGCCTCCTTCCTCATCCATCCCTCTCCCCTTCTTCTTCCTCCTGCCTTCTTCTACGGCGCTGTGTTTGCTCTGCGCTGCTTGGATGTCGCTTCACTGGTTTGCGCTGCTTCCTATCGAGTTGGCTCTGCTTTGCGCTACTTTGCGTTGCTTCGCACTGGTTTGCATTGCGTTGCGTCGCATTGATTTGCAGTGCCCTGTATTGCTTTGCAAGGGTTCGTATGGATCTGGATTGCTATGCATCGCTGTACGTCGCTGTGCTTGGCTCTGCCTTGCTTTACTGTGCATTGCCGAGCGTTACTTTGCAGTGCTTCGAATTGCGTGTCATTGCTTCGCAGGGCGTTTCATTTCTCATTGACGTGTTGCATTGCCATCACCGCTTTGCATTGCTTTGCATCGCGTGCCGTGAGTTGTAGCGGCTTGCGTATCTTGACATCCCGTGCATTGCTTTGCATCGCACTCATCGCTTTTCATTGTTGTGCGTTGTAATTATTGTTTTAGTTGCTTCGTTTGTCATGATTTGCACCGCCGTTGCATGCAAAGCGTTGCATTATATTGCGTTGCGTCACGATACATGTTTTGAATGCGTTACGTTGCATCGCCGTGCTTTGCATTGGATTCCATTGCCTCAGAAGAGAGAAAGCTCTTGACTGCGGTCGCGCCAGTTTCATCCGTTTTCTTGTCGACGGCATTTGCCCAATAGTGCCCTAGGTAGGCACCGAAGTCAGTCTGGCTCAAGCTAGCCACACCCCATCACCCGTCCTCACTATCGAGTGGGCCTTTCGATATCTAGCTTCCCGATGAGGCTGATCGTCTTTGTCGTGTGGGCCAGAATGCTTCGCGAGGCTGGCGCTGTGACAGCTTGCGCGTACCGCTGTGACCCAAACTGGGCTGGCTTGGACACGGGTGTATGCGCCGACTCAGGTTGCCCTTCGCCAGACTCTGACTATGTGATGAACAACGTCTGCACTGGATTGCCATTTCAACCATCACCCGGCGATATCCTTCAACATGATGAGGTGCCTTTTGACACAGAAGATGCTTGCAGTTCTTATCCAGGTGCCTGCGGCAAACCCCGCCACCGTGCCAGCGCAGCAATGCAGCAGCACAGCAGGAATGGTTTACTTTAACTTCCGCTCAAGTTCAGACAGGGCGCTGAACTGGAGCGGGTCTTGAAGACCCCTTTCCTCTTTCCTTGTCCGCAGCTTTGTTATCCTCTATCTTCTTGGTCGCTCCTCCTCCTCCGCCTCATCTTCATCATCATCCCTCTATTCCTGCTCCTCCTCCTCCTCCTCCTCCTCCTCCTTCTCCTCTTGGCTGTGGGGTAGGGCCGTGGTGCCCTTGGTTGGCACGCCGGCCCGTGCGTTAGAGTTTTTTTCAGAGAGCGGGCATCCGACGGGATGGCTCGCTGAGCGGCAGCCGGCGCGCCCACTCACGCGCCGAACTCGGCGCGCCCTATCCAACCCAACCCAACCCAACCCAACCCAACCTCCTCCTCCTCCTCCTCCTCCTCTTCCTCCTCCTCCTCCTCCTCCTCCTCCTCCTCCTCCTCCTCCTCCTCCTCCTCTTCCTTTGAACGCGTCTTGGGACTTTCTTGAGCGCCTCTCAGAGCCTCTTAGGGCTGTTTTGGGGGGGCCTTTTGGGGGATCCGCTGGGGGCCTCTCGGAGGCCTCCCGGGGACCTCTCGGTGGCGTCTGGGGGGGGGGCTGTCGGGGGCATGTTTGGGGTCTTGGAGGCAATCTTGAATGGAGTCAAGGCCAGCCTGATTTCCCTCTCTTGGGACCCTCTTGTGGGCTTTCTTGGAGGCCTCCTGGGCCGGCTTGGCGGCCTTGTGGGGGCTCTCTTGGGAATCTTGGGCCGTTTTGGGGCCCTCTTGGGCCGTCTTGGGGCCCTACTGTGTCGTCTTGAGGTGCTCTGGGGACCCTGTGGGGCTGTCTTGGAGCCCTCTTGGGGACCTTTGGGGGCCATCTTGGGCTTTCGGAAGCCCGAAAAGGCCAGTATGGTAAAATCGTTCAAAGCAGACGTAAAGAAGATCACTGTTTTTTGCTTCTCGAGGGCCTCCAGGGCGTCCTCCTCGAGCCCTCTTTGGACGTCTTGAGGGCCTCTCGGGCCGTCTTGAGGGCCTCTCGGGCCGTCTTGAGGCCGTTTTGGGCCATCTTGAGGCCTTCTTGGACAGTCTCGAGGCCTTCTTGGGCAGTCTGAGAGCCCTTTTGAGGGGCCTTTGGGGCCGTCTTGTGGCGATGTTAGCATTGGGGCGGTTTGGGGTTGTCTTGGAACCGTTTGGAGGCTGACAAGAGCGCCGGGAAGCAAATACAGAGGGGACGATTTTCGGACCCCGCTCGCTACGAGGGGGGGTCGGCCTTAGAAAACGCAAAAGAAACCTTATCAGACAACAGAGGAGCATCCTAACACGCCCACTCCGTGCAGGCACGGTGGACGGTGGCGGACCTTCAGTCTTGGGAAAGCGATGTTCTGCAAGGACTACAAGGAAATGTGAGCGGACGCTTGGTTGTCGGAGATTCGGACAAGACAGATTTCCCAACTCGTGGACAGATTTGGAGCACTGCATTGGGCTTCATGAAAAAGTGCGTTCAGGTTGCCGAATGTGAACACATAGTCCAGGGCATGAACGGGAAAGAGGTTCAGGATTGCATCAACAAGTGCATTTTCGAGTATGGGGAGGAGAAGCTTGAGCAATGGGCTTGCGATTGTGCCTCTGAAAAATACACCGGCGGCCTTGCAGATTGGTTTTGCAACAATGCTCTCGGTGTGATAATGGAGCCCATCAACAATTTCATCAACAAGTACATCGAACAACCCGTCATCGATGCTTGTGAAAGCGTAGAGGATGCCGTCGCCAACGCGGGACACAAAATTGCAAGTTTCTTCAACTTCGACTGGGGCGATGCACTCGTTGTTGTCTGATGCGAATGGAAGCTTACTACAAGGACGCGCGAGTCTCGCGGAGTGCCTCCCCATATATCGGTTCACCACCGGGCCCTCGTTTAAGCGGCTCCTGGTGCAGTAGTGAATTGTTGAGTGCATTAGTGTAGAGTGGGCGTATGGATGCAGGAAACCAGAATCGGTTCTGGTAGACTTGTACGTAGATGGATGCGTGGCGGACGTTGCAGATGAGTGGAGGGATTCGCACTGCTCGGCTTGGCTCCCCACGCGTTGCGCCGTGCAGTGTCCCTGCCGCTCGCGGGACCCTCGGCTCCATCGCTGCGTTGTGCTCTCCGACTCCGCATGCCTCCAGACTGCCCGAGAGTGCGGTTTTCGTATATTTTTGTCCGGCTGCGCTTTCGAACCGAGCCAGGGCGGGGCCTCTGGGCCCGAGGCCGCAGTGCCTCGAACAAGACGAGGGTGATGAGCGCGAGGAGGAGGAGGAGGAGGAGGAGGAGGACGAGGAGGAGGAGGAGGAGGAGGAGGAGCAGCAAGAGGAGGAGGAGGGGGAGGAGTAGCGGCTACTTCGCCTGGGTGCGTTCAAATCCATTCTAGTGTTCAGTAGGCTGGCTGCCTGTCCATGCCTTTCTTTCCACCGCCGATGCAGGCACGACGCGGAAGGTATAGACAACTGGGTTCATCCCGTTTTGCAAGCCAGGGAATCTTTTTAAGGAGTTGCGCGTTCACTTGAACCTCAGATGTCTGCTCTGAGGCTGCCTTCATCAAACAGCTCTAGGGACGCATGGTACCCCTCCCAAGACCATGCGGACGAATACAAGGGGAGCAGGGGAGTGGACGGAAACCACAGTGGTGCAGTACAATATCTCTCGAGTGTGTGTGTGTGTGTATGTGTGTGTGTGTGTGTGTGTGTGCGTGTGTGCGTGTTTGTGCGTTTGTGTATGTGTGTGTGTGAGAGAGAGAGAGAGAGAGAGTTTGTGTATGTGGATATATGTGCGTGTGTGTATATATATATATGTGTATATATATATATATATATATATATATATATACCGGGCTACAGGGCCGGGGGCTCCCTGGACGGGACCGCAACCCCCCATGGCGGGATCGGGCCTCCGGGAGCGCCCTTGTCCGGCCCAAGAGGCGCCGAAGACGGTCCAAGCGTGCCTCGAGACGCTTACGATCGATCCAAGACGCCCATGATGGCTCCCAGACAGCCCAAGAGGCCTCCAAGATGTCCCAATAGAGCCCCAAGAGCATGCCCAAGAGGGCTGCAAGAGGCCGAAATCATTGAATTCCGTTGGTTTTTTGCAGGTTGTTTGCTTTCTTGTTTTTCCGTCGTCCCGACCCTCCAAGACAGCCCACGAAGTCCCCAAGACCGTTCCAAGATCGCCCAAGAGGCCCCCAAGAGCGCCCCAAGACGGTCCAAGAGGGCCTAAAAACAACCCAATAGGCGCCTAAGACCGCCCAAGAGCTTGCAAACACGGCCCAAGAGGCGTCGAAGACAGTCAAAGCGTGCCACGACGCGCCTAAGACCGCTCCAAAAGATGGCTCCCAGATGGCCCAAGAGGCCTCCAAGACGTCCCAAGAGAGCTCCAGAAGCATTCCCAAGAGGGCTGCAACAGGCCGAAATCATTGAATTCCGCTGGTTTTTTGCAGGTGTTTGGTTTTCTTGTTTTTCCGTCGTCCCGACCCTCCAAGACAGCCCACGAAGTCCCCAAGACCGTCCCAAGATCGCCCAAGAGGCCCCCAAGAGCGCCCCAAGACGGCCCAAGAGGGCCTAAAAACAACCCAATAGGCGCCTAAGACCGCCAAAGAGCTTGCAAACACGGCCCAAGAGGCGTCGAAGACGGTCAAGGCGTGCTTCGACGCGCCTAAGACCGCTCCAAGACGCCCAAGATGGTTCCCGGATGGCCCAAGTTGCGTCCAAGACGTCCCAAGACAACCCCAAGAGCATTCCCAAGAGGGACCCAAACAGCCAAAATCATTGCTTGCCTTCAGGCTTTTAAAAGGTTTTTCCCTACCTAGGCTCTGCCTAGAAGGGTTCTTACTCTCTTAGCTTAAAGGGGCCGGGCAGTGCTACACGCCCCGGGCGGTTCCCCCAGTCCCCTGGGAGCGGTTCCCCCCAGTCCCCTGGGAGCTTTAGCTTTAGCTTTCGCTTAGCTTTAGCTTAGCTGTAGCTTAGCTTTAGCTTCGCGTTTCGCTTAGCTTTTCGCTTAGCGTTTAGCTTAGCGGCAGCTTAGCTTTAGCTTAGCTTTAGCTTAGCTTGAGCTTAGCTGTAGCTTAGCTTTAGCTGAGCTTTAGCTTAGCTTTAGCTTAGATTTAGCTTAGCTTTAGCTTAGCTTTCGCTTAGCTTTAGCTCAGCTTTAGCTTAGCTGTAGCTTAGCTTTAGCTTAGCTGTTGCTCAGTTTTAGCTTAGCTTTAGCTTAGCTTTAGCTTAGCTTCAGCTTAGCTTTAGCTTAGCTTTAGTTTAGCTTTAGCTTAGCTTTAGCTTAGCTGCGGCTTAGCTTTAGCTTAGCTTTAGCTTAGCGTTACTGTTACTACGACTGCTGCTTTCCTAGGGGTTCCAACTCCTAGGTAGGGTCGCGCTGGGATAATTGGCTTCCTCAATTTTTCGTCGTCCCGACGCTCCAAGACGGCCCAAGAGGCCCCCAACACCGTCCCAAGCTGGTCCAAGAGGCTCCCAAGAGAGCCCCAAGACGGCCCAAGAGGCCCCAACGACGGCCCAAGAGCAACCAAGACAACCCAAGAGGCTCCAAACATTGCCCCAAGACGCGCCCATGACGGTCCAAGCGTACCTCGAGACGCCTAAGACCACACCAAGACGCCCACGATCGTTCCCCTTTTCATCCCCCTCCTTCCTTCCTCTCTCGTCCTCCCTCGTCTCGTCCTCCTCTCCTCTCTCCCCTCTTCCCTCCTTCCCCCTCTCCTCCATCGGACCTTCGCCCCTGCGTGTCCGCCCCGCCCTTCCTCCCGTCGCCGCTTCTCCTCCCCTTCCCCTTCGCCCGCTCGCTCGCTCGGTCGTCTCTCCTTCTCTGCCGGCTCTTGGCTCTCCTCCTGCTCGTTCTCTTCCTCCCTCCCGAGGCCACCCGCTATGAAAAAACGCCCCGGGTCGCAATTGTTGTTGTTTTGTGTTGCGTCGATCTTCGCCAGGGGCCGACGTGCCGGAGAGGATGATGAGAAACGCGAAGATACGGATGACCAGGACGACTTCCAAAACGGAAAGCCAGGAGGAGGAAAGACAGGGACCGACACACGAGCGAAGATGAGCAAAATGACAATACGGAACGTGACCTCAACTAGAACCGAAGCGCGCGAGAAGCGCGCGCGATGGTATATACACACATGTGTAGATATACATATCCCCGCGCACGAGGCCCGGGCGCCCGGGGCCCGCGCCTCGAGCGCGCATGGCAGGACCGGGGCCTTTGGAGGCGCTCCGACACGACCCAAGACAACCCCGACACGGCATCCGAGGGTCCCAGGAAGTCTCCAAACGGATCAAGAGGCCCAGAGACCCCGATCGCTCCAAGACGCCGAAGATGGTCGCACGACGGCTCCAGAAAACTTCCAAGACGGCCCAGCAGGCCTCCAAGAGAAATCCCACGAGGGCTTCAAAACGCAAAAATGGCCCCGCTCCCTTGGGAAAGCGTGCATTTTTCGGGCATCCGCACCTTGGACTTTCACAGCGCCCGCGGCGGTCCGAGAGGCTCCCAAAATCGCCCCAAGACGGCCCGAGAGGGTCCAAAGAGGGCTCCGAGACAGCCCAAGAGGGCACAAGCACGGCCCACGAGGCCCCCTAGACGGCCCGAGAGGGCCCCAGGACGGCCCCAAGAAGAGGCCCAGAGGGGGTACCCGACCGGCCTTTCGAGCCCTCCCCCCCAGGAGGCTCCCAAGGGGGCCCCAAGGGGCTTCGAAGGAGTCCCCAAGAACACTCCCAAAAGGGCCCCAAGAAACCAAAATCACTGATCGTCCAGAAAGGTTTCTAGTGCATTTTAGCGATTCTGCCTGTTTTGCTTCCCGAGGCCCCGAGACTGTCAGGGATACCCAAATATCGTCCAAGCCCCAGACAAGGCAGCCCCACACAGATGAAAAGGGCCGCAAGAGGCCTCCAAGAGGGCTCGACACGCAGACATCCAGCTCGAACGCGCCCAAGATTGCCTCCAGATGGCCCAGCAAGCTTCCAACACGGCCCAAGGGGTCCCCAAGAACATTCCCCAAAAAGAGCATTCCCCAAAAGCCAGAATCATTGTTTTTTTGTCTGAAGGTTTCTGGTACATTTTAGCGATTCTGCCTGTTCCGCTTCCCGACGCCCCAAAACGGTCAGGGATACCCACATATCATCCCAACAGGCTCCCACGAGGGCGCCGGGGCGGCCCAGGGTCGCCCCCAGACGGCCCAAGACAGCCCGAACACGCGCGAAAAGGGCCGCAAGGGGCCTCCAAGAGGGCTTGAAACGCGGGCAGATCGTTCGAACACGCCCAAGATGGCCTCCAGATGGCCCAGAAAGCTTCCAACTCGGCCCAAGTGGTCTCCAAGAGCATTCCTCCAAGGGCCCCAAGAAGCCAATATCATTGACGTTCATGAGGTATATGATGGATTTCAGCAACTCTGCCTGTTCAGCGCCCCGACGATCCAAGACGGTCCCAGACACCCAAATATCGCTTCAACTGCCCCCCACGAGGGCGCTGAGACGGCCCAGGGACGCCCCCAGACGGCCCAAGGCAGCGCCGACACATATGAAAAGGGCCGCAAAAGGCCCCCAAGAGGGCTCGAAACCGCAGGAACATGTGCTTGCACACCGATTTGCAATTGATTATTCCCGTGAGAAGGCATCTCGCGACAAATGCAAGGTCGTTACCCTTGGCTGATCGTGCCGAAGCATGTTGCCAGCCATTCTGGTAATTAGGTGCCTTCGCAGTTTGTAACCGAGGTACCAACTCAGAAGTGTGGGCTTATCCCTACTTGTTTGTTAGTTTGTGTTTACTCAGTTCCCGCACCAGTGCGTCATTTTTCCCCGGTTG